GTTACTATCAAATTGGTCCTCAGGTTGTGTGTTCGAATTCCAAATGACCATGTGCCTCGAATCTGTACGTCGACTTGCAGCCTTCGATTGACTTCAGTACCGTTCACAAGAGTAGATTGTACCGTTTTTCATCTGATGAACACAAATTAAAAAGTGTGGAATGATTGTGGCGTAGAATGCGGATTTTGGTCTTGGTCTTCGAGATTCAAACAACACTTTCAGCTGGGAGAACACGCTAACATCAAGATTTAAGATCAACACGAGCCGAGCAGGATTACAACTTTCAGTAAAACCGTTTATAAGCGATGAGCGATCATCTATCATTTCCATTGGAGCTCTTTTATCTCTTCATGCACTTTCTATTTTCAGGATAGCGACAATGACGGTATCCTGAACGAATGGGATGATGACGATGATAACGATGGTATTCCAGGTTNGGTTAGTCTACGGAAAATCGCACAAAATATTTTCAAGTAAAGCTTTCGTTTGTAGCCAGATAATTTTAACATTTACTCGAAATAGAAAACGTTCCTCCATCGTATATCATTCAACTCTACAGTTTTGATTCAGTCATGATGCATGTTTTAGTGACCTTGAATTCACTGAACCTAAAAACTTACTCGAAAATATTAAATATGCAAAGCAAAAATTGATCGCTGTGAATGGCAAGCATTTCGTTACAGTATTTTTGGTTATCATCAGGTCATAAACTGGTTATAATAAACGCCTATTCGGTGAGGTTGGACAGTATCACCAGTAAAATGAGAACAATTTCTACAAAACGACGTGAATTGAACATCACGGTTCGAATTGCTGCATTGAACTATTTGATATAAGTGGATAAATTGGGCCAGATACGCCAGCTAGCAGCAGTTAATTCAATCACAAACAAAATTAGCACAAACACTTGTGTGCACCGATTCAGTCCAGGCAAGACAATCCTGTGCATGCGAAAACCATTAGTCTTCCATATTCACCGAACCAGTTGCCAATTTATCATGGCCGAAATGATGTTGACCTTTCATGCAGTCGATAGGAAGATTGCTGAAGTGAATACTAAGCAGTGATAAAATCTTCGATATTGTACGTAAAGTTGGGAAGAAGAGGATTTAACGAGTTTGTAGTATTCTTCAATGCTCAAGCTGGATTGGAAATAAAATGTTTACATCGCACCACACACAATGGCCTTTTTCGGATGATCTTTTGTTTTGGAAAAAATAACAGTTTGCGTAATCACAGGTGGTGCGAGCAACAGTGCATTTTACAGGTTACTCTGAAAGATCGGACATCATTTTTGCATGACAGTTTGGACCTAGGATCGATAGGTCCGTGCATCTCGTTGATGTCCAACCCTTCATCATGATCAGTGCGGGTATTTTACTTCGAAAGAACGATGCTGTCAAAAACTTCCACTCCCAAACGTGATTGAAACTTTCTGTGACTATACGCAAAACATGACTGTATCAAGTTCCAATTGTTTATTTTTCTGGGTAGGTCATTGAACATTAAATTGATGATTAACTGGTTTACACTTACCCTTACACTTTGGAACTCTTTCCAAAGCACACTAGGATAGGCATTTATTTCAGGTTACTAACAGCTTTCAGGTCTAATCCAGCAAACTGAAGACATCGAAGTCGTCAATCTCAAACAAGATCTCAATAAATATCACATACTTTGAGGAATAGCTGCAATCGAAATGGCGAAAACATATGTTGTTTCCCATATAGAAAGTTACATTTTTAAGTTAGTTCTTTTAGCCGCGCAAATCAATCAAAAATACTTTGATTATAGATTAGGTGATTTAATTCGCCCTGCCCCCTGCTCCAGCTCGCCAATCTGATACAATCGATTAGGAAACCTTTCTTATTAGAGTGGTAACCGTTTATTGATGACATGGAGAGATAAACCATTTATTTACACGAATAAGGCTTGTTCAATCTTAATTGCATTAGCATTCAGCTTTAAAATGAAATCGGTCTTTGTAATGGGCATTCAATGAAACAATTCAGTTCTGTTTTGTAACTTGACTTTGTCCCGAATCCCCAATTGCCCCTCAACTCTATACGTTCATGTGTGCATATTTTTATATGGACAAATATAAATTATCGTTCAGTAATTGATGTGGATTTGGGTGTATAAAATTTGCTCTGTACACTAATCGTTCCGGGTGACCAAACGGGAGCATCTTCATATAATTGATATTATTTGCGCATTACAATATCAGCTCATTCCATTTACAGGATTGGGTAGGAAAAGAATGAGTATCTAACGGATGATAAGCCTGTACAACTATGTTCAGTGATCAACTTGTAAAATACCTGCTGATACCGATAAAGATGGTTGCTATCTTTGGCATACCGAGAGTTATGCGCTGTTGCCCAACCCGAATTTCCTACCACACATCATATTCATTCTGTCAGCTGGATCTAGTCTGTTCCCGTGTGAGATAAATTCATACTGCTGTTCGTTCGCAGTTTCGACAGACATGTTACTGATGAAGAATAGTAGCCATCGTTTGTAGTGTAATGCATCCACCGTTGCAGATTTTACTGTAGTCACACACTCTAGAAGCGAAGTAATCCATCGAGAAGTTTAGTACGAAATGCTTATCCCAACATGAGGAAAGTGATATTTATCACCCACGGTGCACAGATGTAAATATAAACATTATCCTCCCACTCTTCAACTAGTGAAATCGGTCGACGAAAACACCCGGTTGGACTCCAGGTGAAAAATTTCAGGATACTACCCATAACTATTATGAAAAACGTCAACAACTGTTAAATGTTGATTTCGCAAATCGTTCGTTTTCGGTCCAGATATTCGATAGCAGCTTTTTGTTTTGATGACTCACACTTGAAAACACAAAATTAAGAAACTTGTTCACAGTTGATTTAAGCTGAACTGATTCATTTGCACGTGGAAGCAACGGCAAAGAAACCGATTCACACTAGTTCTGTGACACCCCATGGACGTTGCGAAAATGGAATCCTAAATAAGAATGTTTGTAGCCCACCCCGTCGCCTTGGAAGGGTGCAGCGTGAGGATTTCCGTGTTGGGGGGTTTGCTGATTTCCAGCTCGGTCAACTGTTCAACATGAACAAGCCTGGGATTTGTTTGCCTCCTGAACCGAATGAATCAAGTGATCAGACAGTGCGATGACCAACCCGCATGCGTTATGCCCCAGATGGACTGAAGATTGTGGATACATCGTGTTCACACACGCGAAAACAAAAAACCCAACATTTCAGCAATTCGGTCCGAAGTTTTAGGCTATTGATGACAAAAATAAATAGTGCAGTGTATCCGTAAATAATATCCAAATATAGCTAACCCCATTGTTGTAAAAGACTTTGAAAACATTTGGCTATAAATTCAAATCGGAATGATATCTCTTGTTTTCTGGTTTACAATACCAACTGTAATATGCCCCTTTCCGGAAGCCATCAATTAAGAAGCATCTAGTATTAAGATGAATGACAAAGGTCGTTCCATGATACGTATTTTTAACCTTGGCATCAACGTGCGACTTCTCTCATACGGATGCTATTCTGACAGCTTTTGATAAACTGTAATCCCATCCCTGAATGGTATGAGTGTACCGTTTGTGTTATGAGCATTTCTGCACACATCACCCAATGGCGTATGGTAACACGGTTCGCTAGCATGTACTGAAGCATTTTACGCTCCCACATCCTAAACGGGCATCTATTCCGCTCTGGCTATTGGCTGTTGTCATATGACAACAAAAATATTTTCTTGCATCTCTTTAGACAAAGAAGATGAGGATTCTAACGGAGATGGAATTCCTGACCACCTGGACGATGACGATGATAACGACGGAATCCCAGATCACCAGGATCCGGACTCAATGTCCTTCCTGTTGTACAAACACAAGCGTTTCCTAGAGGCCATTCCCGGTAAGTTACGGGGTACCCGAGCTGCCTGTGATACGACGTGAGCGAATCCCGTCACTATCGAAATCACAAGTTGCATTTCTGTCATTCTATTGAGTGTATTGAGGTGATAAAGTAAAAAATACCTTCTTAACGAAAGTTGAAGCAACCGAGTAAATATCTACTATGGTTTACCTTATTTTGTTTGGCAGATCACCTAAGTAAGCTACCTTTTATTTGCCAAACCAACATGATTTCAACGAAAAACCTAGCTTTTAAAGTTCTCAAAGGTAGATTCCTCCAGAATTTAAGGAAAAGCTGCAGTGGTAGTCAGCTTGCATGCCAACCGATGGAGTCCATATGCCTCTATATGTTTGGTGGATGTGATCAAAATGTGAAAGCATCAGTGCTATTGGTGTGGTCTCGCACATCAGCTGATAGAGTTTGCGCTGTACAAATGAGTAGGCGTAGTCTATCTGTGGATCTGAGTCCCACCGAGGATACTAGTCTTTTCACAATTCAAAAATATGATTGTTTATTTGGTTGTCTGAAAAAAAGTAAATTGTGTTGAACACCTGTCACCATTTGTTTTGTTTTATTTTGAAGGCTGCATCGGTATCACATTTTGATTGATGTCCAACGTCTAACCGATACCACAATGGCCACGAAAGTAAATTGTCAAATGCTTGGTCACAGCATAACAATAAATGACACAGTTGTAAATTATTGACTGGAGAATTTCAAAGTATTAACCAAATCCCATAATCCCCTAAATGAAATGTTTTAGAACGCAATTTCCACAATGGTGCTTTGAATCTCCCACTAGATGATTCTTCATGGAATACTATTGCATATGAGTTCCGATTGATTGGCGATTTAATTTTAAATGAATCATCCGCAGATGACGGAAAAGATACCGTGATGTGTAACCAAATACAAGTTGGTCACAGAACGTATCCGAAATACAATTAGCACAGTATTTTGCTTACTAAACCCAAGTGCAGAATACCCAATGCGAGTCCATGGCTGCTGCTGAAAGCACCGGACGTCATGGTAGACAGAGTAGGAAAAAGAAGAGACGATATGATGAGGATAACTCTTTGTTCTCCCTATCTGCTTCAGCGCATTCATTTTCATAGATTAGCTTAAGGTGGATTTTGCTCCTACAACTTCTTACTGATTTATCCCCCTTACATACGTACCGGGTGTATCAATTTTGCGACAAAAAATGGTTGTTGATCCAATGGATGGTGTTTCTTCACTACGCCCCCCCACCCCTCCCCATTCGCATTTGATTCAGTGTGACTTGATTTGTATGAGGTTTTGCTAAAATTAACGGGTTTTATTTATTTTCACATATATTTTGTTGGACAACGAGACATTCCACGCAGTACAAATATGGAATAACAAACTGCGCATGCGCTCAGTAAGAACTGCTTTAATCAACTAAAAAATCCCATTTGGTGTTTAACAAAGTCACTGGTCTTGGGAAAACGGTTCCGTACTCAAATGATTTTGTGTAGGTGATTATAAAACACTCGAACAGTTTCTTCATAACTCACATATATCAGATCGTTAGATAAAGTGCAAACAGGTGAAGATCCAAAACGACTGGTTACTATAAAAACCCAGGTTATATCTAAGTCAAATTGTCAGATATTTTTTAAACAAGTTGTATCTTATCGCAATACCTTGATCAAACGGTCGATCCTTTTTGGTTTAAACAAACTGACACCATGTAGTTTAAAAGGAATAGAGAATATGGAACAAACGGATACAAGCAGAAGACTGCCAAATCACAAGCACTGATGATGTCACCTCGACTGGTGATGAAACGTTTGTAAACAAATTGTCAAGCTCGGCGAATAGAATACAGTTTGCTTTAGAGTCCAGTTTCATGAACATAGATTGATTCTACTGTAATGAATATCATACGCCCGGGGCCATTCATTCAATAAACGCATTTTATCGGTTTGAAGGAAACATCAACGAATGAAAATCGATTGGGACAAATGAAGCCGATTGGTTTGTGGGTCTACATACTGATTGCTACCAATTCATGCCTGAATTCGAGAGAAAGCGATCCATCGATTAGGGAAATACATAATTCAATGAGACAAACTGTGCTTTGAACAATTTATTAGTTGACTTATTTTCTAAATATTCATCCCAGTTGTCGTGGTTGAGAATAATTGATTTTGGTAGATTCATACTAGAAAAATCAGGGCAGTGAACGGTTGAAGAGTATTTCAGGGATTTATTTGAGTTTCGACCTGAATGTTTTCATTCGAATCAACCGTCTGTCATTTTGCGCTTTCCGCTCCAGGACCATTTCCTACCAGTTGATCGATTCGACTGTTTCGTCTCGTACAATCGAAACTCAGTGAAAACGGAACGCTTGGTTTGGCATGTGCATCTGACACTGTCTTGTGTTTACTTTGGTCCAACCGAGCTGAGCACAGCTTAGAGATGGATTGTTCACGTGGGAATTGATACTCACCAAACCGCTCTGCTTGTCATTTTCATGACAGATGGATAGTGGAGATAAAATCTCAGTGAATAGGGATAACATGGTATCCAGAAAAATACTTGAACTGATCAATACACCGCTCTTTAGGCTCTCAAGTTGGTGAATTATTGTGCAAAATGATACTAAACGTTAACTGCAAAAAATCATTTATTTTCATAAAATGAATGCTGAATCCATTTGTAAAACGACTTAAAATGCTTTATATATCAGTCGACTGGATCAACTGTTTAGTAATGGAGTTCATCTCGATCACAATGGATATACGACTCACTGGGATAAATTCTGAAAGATTTGAAACCCATTTAAATGTCCCCAAAGCATCTTGATTTTTCCAGTGATATTACTAGTGTGCGTTTAATATCGTTCTCGTTGATCTTAACCATCTTCTTCAAGTTGACCTTGGTGAATGTAATCCCACGTATTCCGTACACATAAACCAAAGCACTACCATTGTGGTACGTAATACTAGAAACCAGATTCCAAATCAATTTCATTCCGGTCACCTCAGGAAGTGAAAGCTCCCCACGGGCTCGATGACAATGTTAAGCTATGCAGTTCGCGTGACNCGCCATGGGGGTCGAAACGAGTGGAAAGACTTTCTGATAGCCACCTTTAGCAACCGACTACTTCAGTGCTCTTCAGTAGTAAGCTTAGATGAAGTTCACCATTTTGAAGCTCACGTGGGTTTCTTGCATAGACTTCATCTCTCACGTATAAATACCTTTTTCGTCAGTAATATTTGTTGGGAAAAGGGTAGGATATCGTAATTCAAGCAAATTCATCTTGCATTCTGAATTTAGAAAGTCTGTTTGTCATGAATTTCCTGAGTTGCATCCATTGTTCAGAGAACAAGAAGAATCCGAATTAAATAATTGTATGGTTTTCGTTGCATAGGGAGTTCAAACTCATTTGGTGCTATCAACGATTAGTATCTATCCATTCCAGAGGAAGATTGTGCTAACGGGCTTTTATTCAGAAGTCAGGCAGTCTAGTACAACAATCGGGGAACTCTGATAAAGCCTACGTCTTTATACTCAGCGTAATCCGAGTCGATGGTAGCAAATAGCCTTTACAATGATGGCACTGACCTCCAGGTTTAGTTACTTTCCACATGTAGACCAAATTCAGTTGACATACAAAAGATACTGAGCAACAAAGTATTAAGAAAACTATAATAAGCATTTTGACAAATCATATTTTCCACATAAACTGTAAACATTCAATACAACACCCTCATTGGTAGCCGAGATTGTGCACTTAGTGTATGCCATGAAAAATGCTTGTTCAAAACACGCTCATCTGCGGCTTCATTCACTCGAGGTGTTTGCTCAGGTTTAGCTTCTTTTTTCATGAAATCAGAATTATGGAATTCTTACACTCTGGTCAGATTTTCGATTGCATGTCTTCTACTGTCACAAAATGTTTCTATCACTTTTTGGTTGACCTGCGCCTCCAACTCCGTGTCGTACATCGGTTACACAAACCAAATTTCCGGTCAACTACTTTTCTCAATGCCCTTCCGTTTTTTGGTGCATTGAAGAAGCAAAACCTTGTTCTTGCTTCTTCTGCGTGGCGACTCACTTCGATGTTCGTTTGTTTTATCTTTTCCTATCAGCAAGATGCAAACTTTCCTCAATAAAGTCTCCTCTATGTCCGTCTGTTTGCCGAGCTCGACAATTTGTTTGCGAATGTTTCATCACCAGCCCAATCGACAGCTTTCAATTTGTGGGCTAATACATTCACAAAAAGGTGAAACACAGACCTGTAGTTTAGTTCTCTGGTTGCTAGTGTGAGGGTATGTTCACCTCTGTTTTAAATTGGGACCGATGGCGATTGCTTATGAGTGCAACACGGTCAATCTACTGTTTGTGAATCAGCAGACCAAGGTTGAAGCGCATTGTCGGATAAAGCCCATCCCAGTTCTTCTCAAAGCAGTGAACGAATCTAAACCGATCATTATCTATAGAAACAGTTTTGCATGTCCTTGTGGAAATCTCACTTATTGTGCTAACACGATTCTTTGCTGTTTCAATCAGATCTTATGTTAACCGCTCCATGAATGAACTGGCTCATTCTTCTTGGCATGATTCAAAGCTGGAATCTGGAAATCTTGTCTGGCTGTATAGCCTTGCTGGCTTATTTCACTCTTGGGCTTCTGCTTTGTTTTTTTTGCTTTGCTCTCTTCAGCTCATTTCATTACTGAACGATATGATCCTCGCTTTCCCTGTTCCTGTTTCGCGTCATTATATTTTCGTGTTCACCATGCCACGCACATCACCAAATGCTGGTGGTAATCATGCAGATATGTTTTTGAGCCATGCTTTTTACTGTCTGATTTCACCATTGACTCCATTGAAGTGCAAAAGGGTGTAACTTTCACGTGCACCGGTTATCAACGGTTCATTTATCTTCTCTCTCTCCTTCCTATCTTGCTTGCACTTCCATCGAACTCATTATTTGCGTCATCATCATCGTGATCACCATTGTACGCCGTGTTCAGAACGCAATCGTCTGGACGGCATTCGCATATTTATGCCCGTTTTCCAAGCGAAATTCCCCGAAGGCTACGATCCGAGATCCGAAAACGCCGAATTGTTAACTGGTTATTGTCCAATTAGTTTCTGTCCCCCTCCTACCCCCACGAATTACACGTTTCAGCTTTTCCTTCCCCGTAGCTCTCACCGTCGCATGCTCGCACCTGGATTGCCTGTTAACATGTTGTTTCACTCCATCCCCACCTTGTTCCCAATGATTTTAGACCGTTTGGGACATTGACTTCATGCTAGCCGTTCTGTACGGGACCCGATTAGATCGGATCATGAACCCACAAGCATTGTTTAGCTTATTGTGTGCCAAATTGTCGAGTGTGACTGCAACAACTCCTTGATTCTATAGTTTGCTAAATCAACTTAGGGAAGTGCATGCCAATAGAAGTTTTTAATTGATTACAAAACAGTGACCAAACACTACTGGCGGTACTATTACTATAGTNCTATAGTCCGTAACGGGAAGGGAGTAAATTGGCAGTAGAACTAAAGCAATCCAATTATTTACAACGTCCGTTTTTCACCTCATACTGAAATGGGATGGGGGTTCTGGCGCACACATTTCTGATCTTTTCGATCATAATGTTGCAAGTGCACCACCACCACCACGTTTGAGGGAACCCAGTGCCAAATCTACCGAATCATCATCTGTCGAACAATGTGGATTAGGTCTTTTGAACATTCACGGACCGGTCGAGTTCCATGTTGTACAATCCTTGTTTTTCTTGTTTCTACCCATCGAGATACATGTATAGGAGCTCTCTTGATCCGCGTGCTTCATGGATCGTTTGTCCTTGGTGCCTCTGTGTCTTCGCCATGACACGGCTCTTGTGAACAATTTTCAGTTAAGATTTATACCTCAGTATTGATTTCGAAAATGAACGAACGAAGCATCAATGACAGTGGCGTACTATCCGTAAATCATATATTCACGACTCGGGTTTCCATGGGCCATAATAGCGCTTGCAATTGTGCATTTTCAGTGGTAACTGTTTCTAGCATGTAAGATAGACCCGCATCTCCCTGTGTTCATCCTTGACCTGAATGTGTGATCGAAAATCTACCAAACATCTATTTATCAGTGATTCTGGCTACACAAAGAAACTTCATGACTTGTAGAGTGACACTGATGATCGAAAATTCAACGTGTTTGTGATTCTATATGAAAAAAGCAACGCATGCATTATGAAAATAATGTATAAATCATATGTTCAGAGTTGTTCTCTAACCATTATCGTGCAAATACTCATCTATAACTGCAACGATGAAAACGTATTTGTAAGTTTTTCGTTAGCTTTCAGTGCATGATACAGCATCAGAGGAATACTAATCTGTGGTAGAAACAATGCTTGTTAGTTGATCAGATGAAATGAGCAGAATAAATCCACTTGGTAACATACTCATCAAGCTCCCTGTTTTTTTTTCTCGTCTTATTTTAAAACAAAATAATCGGAATCGGAACGATCGTACAGCCGAAATTGCCCGAAATGAAGCCAATCTTATGAACGTGGACTTGGGCGACCCGAACGATAAGGATTGTGATGGTATTCCAGATCATTTGGACAATGATATGGACAATGACGGGAAAATCGATCGAACCCAGGACTCCGATATGGATGGTATGCTGAATCACGTGGATGACGATGATGATAATGACGGTAGGTGTTTGTAATTTACAACTGCAAATCAAATCAGCTTGTCTGTTACAGAATCGCGGAAACCAGAAAATGGTAAAAAAACAGTACTATGCAATTTATTTTCGGAAAATAAATCCACCATATCTTCTCCTATGTGTACTAAAGTCGTAATGTAAAAAATCAGTTGTTTTCCGTTTGCGAGTCGTCGATATTATTAATATCCATTTTCTACGAAGGTAAGGTAAAAGTTAAAAATAACTCCTTCTTGTACTTAGGCAGAATCCAAACGGCGTAGACCAAAAGTAGTTTAAGGTATATACTTTCTGGATTTTATCGTGTACAGAGCAAGATGAAGCATGAAATCAAAAATTAGGAAGAACCTTAGAGCTGTTTCAATCTGATTATGTCTCGTCAGCAGCGCGAATCCATTGACTTAACTGAGGAATACACTCGGAACCTCACTAGTAGAACGTGAATATGCCACTAAGCGCATAAAATATGTTTATTCATGTGTCAATGACCAGGTGGTCAAGGTCAGGGGTCTGCCTTGCGTCGTGCACTAACATCATCGATCGACTCTCACATCGCAGATATCGGACATTGAATTAAAATATACGTATAATGCTTGTTTTCTTCACACAAAAGTCCCGGCAGCACCAATTTGTAGAAGTGACTGCTTCGAAGTCATGCATACCTGGACGGTGCGAATAGGTGTTCTTTGCAACGCATGCTTTGACCTGTTCGAACTGTGGACAATTTCCTCAACAGCAGCTCATCTCTGTGTTTCGACTTTGGTGGGTATATGAGGGGATATGGTTTTTTTCGGAAATGCGTATAACATTCAGTTGCCGCGTTTTCTGTTCAAATTAATCTACAGAAGTTGTTGTCTCGAGGAGTTTGCTTTTGTGCAAAATCATTGGGTCAGATAGCTGATACGGAAGTTAATCAACGGATTGCCTTCGGAAACATTTCATAATAATGCATTTATAGTTTCTGAAACTCTCATGAAAACATTCTCCATGTTATCTGCTGATGAGGTCTTTTAACCAGTCACTTCCGTCCAAAGACCTTTTCTTAAATCTAGTGACTCTCAACCGACGCCAGGGAACAATGTGTTGAATTATTACATATCGCGTACATTTATTGTGGAGAGGCGACCGTTCTTCAATACCGGATATGTTGACAAGTGATTTCTAATTAAATAAAAGTTGCAGTGATCAGGGGAAAGGGAAACTGCATATTACAAAGACAACTGTAAACATTTAACAAATCCCCTACATTTATTTTAATGGTGTGAATTGTGTACAGCACGGTAGTGTGATCTGAGTTGCTTCTTGAGTTTGCATCATTGCTCCTCTGCTAATGAAAACTCTCTCTATTCACACAGCATTCTTTCTATAGACTTATTCACTTGACTCGCTTGTATTCGGTTTTCGTATTATGATTAGTTCTTAAATGAAATGAGGGTGGGCATGAAGGGTGATCGTTTCGACTGTTGGTAACATTCGAAAATTGACCTCTTTGAAAAATTTGAAACGCTGGGGTCCCTTTTGGCCATCGTATTAGGGCAGAAAGAAGACGTGCGTCGCGAGATGTTAAAATTTCGTTTGATCTCCTCAATTGTTGACGTAAAAACTTCCTTTGACCGAACAGAAAGAACAGGAAGTCGCACGCACATTGACTGCCTCACCGGACCCAATTAAATATTTCCCAATTGACGTAGCTCCGGTTCATGCCAAGCACTGATTAAACCGGCTAAGGTAAAGCTCTTTGATCTCGTCCAATCAACGATAAAAGTATTACACCTACCTAGTCTCTTGAGTTATCCACGCTACCACATGCACCATCATCACCATTTTGGGAAATCTAGGCAGCAACCTAATGGAAAACCGAAATGCTATATTCCGTCATCTGATCTTTTATTTAAAAATATGTGAAAACCATTTTCAGTGTGACACTCTCATGAACTTCATGCACCCAACTCGTTTGTAAAACGTGCACGCAAAGTATCCCAAGATGTACTTTAACATGGCAGCTGGCAACTTCGGTGAGTCAGCGATCGAACGACTACGGTTAAGTGACACCTTGGTGACAATGATCATAAGCCCAAATCCTTCCAAATGATCTTGAATTGACAAACACATCCAAGTTGGTCACGAAAAATTCCATTTTTAAAGTCTCTTTGAGCGCTTGATGATGAATATTTATGTTTGACTACCTACTCATCACAGAGTCCTTCGTCGACACATAGTAAAACAAAAACTTGTGAGTAGAACTATAAAAATGAGTAATGCATACACTTCTGTTTTTCAGGCATCCCCGATCATTTGGATCCCGACGCCAATGGTGACGGTATCCCGGATTGCCGTAGAGATGATGATTTGCACTACAAACTGGTTCGTTCTCCATCTGGGTTGATCAAAAAGGTTTTGCGCATACGCAAACCTACTCAGGAAGAACAGCATTTGACATTTATGGTAAACGAGGCCAAGAGAAAATTGATCAAGGTACGTGCCATGATGAACAGCCCCCCACCGAGGAGACCATTGCAAACTGTGCCGGTAACGACGCCTTCCCCACCGCAAGCGGAAGAAGATGCGGAAGAGCAGGAGGAGGAGCTGGACGAGGAGCCATTGATCCAAGTACAACCAAACCATCCGAAAGTTGCTGCAGCGGCAAAGAAAGCCGCTGCAAAACAAGCGGTTCCGCCAAAAGCAAAACCGAAACAGCCGATTCAAAATCGCAAACTAGCAGNCTGATGACAACGATGATGAAGAAACCGGAGAAGAAGAGGACGACGACAGCGATGACACCGATTCAGCTTTCAAAGACGGTGATGAAACGAACAGTATGGAACAAGTCAGGGGCTCCCGAGGAGGGTCGTTTTTTCTTGGTGCCGATGCGGCAGAAGTTCCTACTATAAAGAAGCCAGTGCCGGTCAAGGCAAAAAAGGAAGCCGAGGTAAAGCAGACAAAAAACAGTGCAGCTGATGAAACTCCGAAGGTCAGCCTTAAAACGCCACTTTGTTTATGTATACTGCGTCTGTTTTGTGTTCTTGTAAAGGTGTCTGGTATCAGAACGAAGGTGCGAAACTGAGCCATCCACAGTGAAGAATTGTGAGTAACACTGAAATCGGTGGTGGTAGAAATTGATTGATTTAGCTTGAACAAGTTACCTGTCCATCTAGCGGAGTGTGAGCAATTTCAACCTATATGTTTGAGATAATTTTTCCCCAAAGGATGTTTAACTGCAGATATTGGAGAAATGAACCTTACAGACTGCATGTTGTTCACTTCCGAATAAAGTACACCCTCGACCAGATAACAAACGTGTCACTCTCAAATGCCAGGTTGCGGACACAGTTTAGTTCACCACTTAAGTTATACAAATGCTTCTGTGTCCACGCCTGAACACGGACTAATTGTCGTAAAGAACTCCGCTAAAATGTACAGTGTCATGAATGTGTTATCATTGATTCAAAGAAAAGCTACTGAGTGGGTTTATCCTTTGGTACGCAGACAAGCATAGGCCAGAAATTAGCTCAATTCAGCAAAGCGAATATCAATGCGTAGTCAGGTTAGTGAGACAGGTTGACCACTGCTGTTTGCCGTTCTGTCCTTGGTCACTTCTATTGGAAGTCGAGGGTACAATTGTTTACTCTTATTGTCAGAACTCAACTGAAATGAAGGGAATACGCGAGAAACGGTCGCGAGTATTAAACAGCAAATCAAGATTCCTTGTTTGCAGGTGAAATATAGACGAAATTTCTCAAAAATATGTAAGCTTCCTAATGCCTATTATGATATTGTTCAACCAGTGTCCGAACGAACGTCATTGTGAACGCTTAACACAGCGGTGGCTAGCCCAGTAATACAACCGGGCCAGACGAAGTTGTTCGACAAGTTGTTGAACATCCACAGTATAACACACAACAAGTGACCCGGGTAATAACGCGTGAGCCGTGGGTCAGTTGTTCATGTTTTGAACGAAGCCGGCTTTCAATAGTCTGCCACGGCTCAGATGCAGCATTAGAATTAGCGATCTCTCCAGGAGTGAAATCCATATCCAAGACCATCAAGAGTGCCTGGTGCCTCTGAACAAACAAATGAGCTAATCCAAGGTAGTACAAGGAAGTACACCTATTTCATCACAAGGGAGTTCGGGATATTTTACTGACAACAATACATTTTGAACTCTTTTCTTTGAGCTATTGTATTAAGATCTTGTACTTTTCTATCAAAGAAGTGTACTACAATTATTCCCCATGACGGCCTGGAAGCAGACGCACCAACTCACTTAAGTTCTCCAATTAGGATGTGCTCGATTTCCAGAGATGCGGATCAACATAGGCTTATTCTTCTGGCCGAATAAACTGTTCTGCGCATTTTCACGTTCCAAGCGGTCTGCTTCTCGCTGTCGGAATAAGGTGGTTGAATTCTTCACCCGCTCCCCGAGCACTCAGGACTGACGCGTTTAGACATAATAAATGTGATTTGTCATCTTCCATTTGGTCGATCTTGCAATGGCTGACATCATTGGCTTGTTTTTGCACGAGCAGCGTTAAGTCAACGCAAAGCAGCCTGCTCGACTCACCACAGACACAAACGAATCAGGAGGGTGTGTGAACGGGCTTGTGAGTTATGATCACCCATTACCATTGGTCCCAGTTTCCTCGGCTAAAAGTACGAACGAACCGCAGCTGAGAATGCTATTCTCAACAGTGTTTTCGGCTTAGTGAGTTACATGGTATATCTAACCGACCAAAACTTTTCGCTCTCCCTAAAGAACATCGAGATGCAACCAGGTCACCTGCTTTTCGTACACAGTTGACCTTCATTCACATACATGAACTATACTGACGTATGTCAATGGACATACATCCACAAGCAGTAATAACGAACCGTTCTATATCCGCATGCTTTCAGTTTCGATCGAATGTGACAGAGCAATCTGCTAAATAATAGGCGGTTAGTATGTGGATGAGTGGGGCGTTCTCTGTTTGCAAATCAAAGCGTTAGACGAACCAGAATATACAGCTCCTAGGTAGAGTTCAATCCAACACCAGTTTGTACAACAAGTAACCATGCTCATTCGTGCGGTGGCTTTGATTGCTCTGTCATGGCTACCCATTTAGATGAAGGAGTAAAGGGAAGATTATAATCTTCAATTAGTGTCAGAATGAGAATAGAGAGGTCATGGCAACTAAGATTGCAAGTCCCCTAGGTAGTGAGGCCTGATCGGATTTGATCGCGCTCCGGTGATTGTGTAGAAGCGTCTGACCGATTCACTCATTCAAAAGCAGTCAGTCAGAGCTCTGAGTCTACCATGGCCGTGTTCGCTGAAGTCACTTAGCCCCAGTCACAAGCCAGTGTCAAATCATTTATACATTTGATTTACTCAACAATACAAATGACATTTACAGAATGATTTGAAACCTCATACATTATCTGTGTTAATATACTACATGACATAAACGTGATCGAACGTTTTGCGTTTTCCTGACTCACAATATATTATGATCTATAAAAAAATGCTTTATTTGAATAGAGCATGGAGCACTGAAAGCGTGCTTGCTTGCCAATTTGATTTATTAATATAGGCTACTCGGAAACGAGAAGTAGACGATTAGTAACCAAGGGTTTTCAAATCTTTCGAAGATCTTCACAGTAAACATGGTGATATATATACCCCATACGTCTGACGCCAGACTGTGTGGCAAACAAACCATGGTGCAAAAATCTTTATAAAAAAAGAAAAGCGTTCCCTACTTTGACTCAAAACTTCGATCAGCTATCTTACCAGAATAATGTTCTAAATGAATCAGGTTCAGGATGGAAGGTAAGCCATGCGATATTATTTTCTCAGCCGCACCAATCCGTATTCAAGTATCATATATGTTGGTAAGGAGACTATTATATGTGGAAAAAATTGTAGACAAGATGACCATGCTTGCTACCGTTGTTTGTTTTAGTCACCGAAGAAACCAAAGGCAGTCGTGGCACAACCATCACTAACCAAAAAGATGGCGTCAAAAAACGCACAAACGTGCAAAGCCGACTCGTGCACCGATTCTGTCAAACCGAAACAAGCCCCAATTAAAACTCCAGTGAAACCAAAGCCAAATAAACCAGCTCCATCAAAACCGGTCAAATTGGCACCAAAAGCGGTGCTATCAAAAAAAGCTGCTGTGATTACTGATTACGCAGAAGACGAGGATGGAGACGGTATTCCGGACTACTTGGAGGGTGATTCGGACGGAGACGGTATTCCAGACTATATGGAAGACGAGGATGGGGACGGAATCGCAGACTATTTGGAGGACGAGGACGGAGACGGTGTGCCGGACTATTTGGATGATGACTCAAGTTACCGACGTGGTAAGTTACAAATGGACTCAGATGGAGATGGTATTCCTGATCACTTAGAAGGGGACTCCGATGGTGATGGTATTCCTGATTATTTGGAGGATAGTGATGGTGATGGTATTCCAGATTATTTGGAAGATTCAGATGGAGACGGAATTCCAGACTATTTGGATGCGGATACGAAATCACAATTCATGCCGCAGAAGTTTCGAAAATTAGGACGCGGTCAACCGGATTATGACCTCGATCATGATGGAATTCCGGATTTTCTAGAAGGTGACTCAGACGGTGATGGTATACCGGACTACTTGGAGGACAGTGATGGTGATGGGATTCCTGACTATCTAGAAGACGAAGACGGAGATGGAGTGCCCGACTACTTAGATGAGGATGCAACTAGTCAATTTTCAGCCAAAAAAACTCGAACTTTGCGGAAGAGACAAAAAAACTCGAACTTTGCGGAAGAGAGCAAAATCGGGGGACTTGGACGGCGATGGTATTCCTGATTGTCTCGAAGGCGATTCGGATGGCGACGGTGTTCCGGATTACATGGAAGACACTGACGGTGATGGGATTCCAGATTACCTGGAAGATGAGGATGGTGATGGGATTCCAGACTATCTAGACGAGGATGCCACCAGTCAGTTCTCTGCTAAAAAGGTCCGCAAACTGAAAGCTAAGAGTAAAGTTGGTGATTTGGATGGTGACGGTATTCCTGATTATCTCGAAGGCGATTCAGATGGCGACGGTGTTCCGGATTACATGGAAGACACTGACGGTGATGGGATTCCAGATTACCTGGAAGATGAGGATGGTGATGGGATTCCAGACTATCTAGACGAGGATGCCACTAGTCAATTCTCCGCTAAGCGCATAAAAAACGTTAAAATGAAACTAAGCGATTCGGATGGTGATGGAATACCTGATCATTTAGAGGGTGACTCTGATGGTGATGGTATTCCTGACTACCAAGAAGACACTGACGGTGACGGTATTCCAGACTATTTGGAAGATTCTGATGGCGACGGAATTCCAGATTATATGGATGAAGATGCTGAGACTCAATTTTCACCTAAAATCTTCAAAAAGCTAGAAGAAATCAGACAGAAAGAAGATACTGACGGTGATGGAATTCCTGATTACCTGGAAGGTGACTCAGATGGTGACGGAATTCCTGACTATTTAGAAGATGCCGATGGCGATGGAATTCCTGATTATCTGGAAGATTCTGATGGTGATGGTATCCCAGATTATCTAGATGAAGATTCTGCGCTTAGTAAATCGAAATCGGTTTTTCGAATAGAAGACAAAAACAAGAATGGGATTCCCGATCACCTCGAGAGAGATTCTGACTACGACGGTACACCGGACTACTTGGAAGATACAGACAAGGATGGCATACCTGATTATCTGGAAGATTCAGACGGTGATGGAATCCCAGACTACATAGATGAGGACGCAAACACTCAATTTTCACCAAAAAAGATTCGAGGTCGGGCTCGCGGGAAAAAGTTTGCTGACGCCGATAAGGATGGGATCCCCGATCATTTGGAAGGAGATATGGATCGTAATGGAATTTTAGATTACTTGGAAGACTCTGAC